CAAATATTACCATCACTAAGAATGATTTCCAAGTTTCTCCATATTTTATATACTACATGTAACAATGACCTTAATACAGTGTATTAAATTTGTGGCGAATACCTTCAAGTTAGCAAATTCTAAATTAAAAAAAATAATGAGGCACACTGGTACTCAGAAGTTAAATGTACTAATAAACTTAAATTTCACATTAAATAATTTTAAAACACAAAAGAGCTCAGATTCAGTCAATTCTATTTTTGACTATAAAACAAAGCCCTGAAAGTTTCAAAGTATCAGTTATTATGTATAATTCTCAATCCTGCTTTTGCGATCTGCACTAAATTTATGATGTCTGCTAATCATACATTAGGTAAATAAATGAATAAAGGATGCTAGAGAGATTTCTTGGTGACTTGAGTATCTACACAGAAGTGTTCACTCATTCTAATTAAGTTCTCCAGAAGTTAAAATTGCAAGAACCATGACTACAGTAGTAAAGACATACTTTTAAATAAATTAAAATTATATAATCCAAGAAAGCCTGAATATGACTACATGAAGCCAAATCACACTATTTTCTGACAACCTCTCAGTAAGAATATGATTACTATTTAGAAAAACAGAATTATTTTCCACGAAACTGTTGCCTAACACAATTATCACCACTGTCACCATCTTAGTCATCTAGAAGTGTAAAAGTTATCTTCAACCAATCTTGATTTTCTATGACTCCAAGAATCAGAAGCAAGAAAAATCAGTGGCATCTGCAGGGAGGACAGGTTACATATCAGGTGACTCCAACCCAGGTCTTCTGGTTGCTAATAAGCTCATATTCCTTACACTGTGCTATGCTAAATTCCTCAACAACTTAAGTTTAAAGCAAGCTTTTGGAATTTGCAAAGAGCCGGTACTTCATTTAATCGGGGTGATATTTCCAATAATTTCCTCCCCAAGGCATAATGTCATTTGTTCAAAAAAGCTGAACATAATGGCAAGTAATATCTGTAAGAATTAACCATACAAAAAATTTGCTATGTGCAACTAAAGTATGTTACCTGTAGAGAAATAATATCTTTAAATGAGCATGGCAGATCTGGGAAGTTTGTATCTAAGAAGGTAAAGGGCACCTGTAGTGTCCCTTCCCTCTCCCACTGTAAGCCTTTAGTATATTTCTTTCCTGCTGGGCCTGAACCGAGCCTCAGAATCTGTCCAAATATACTGGACTATAGAGACACTTACAAATGACTGGCAATGTTAGCATGGCAGATAAAATCTATATTCCAATTTTGACTCTCCTTGCTTAGATCTTACATTGTAGAATACTTGTTTCTGTTTTTTCTTTTAATTTTGATTTTTTAAAAATTCAATATAAATTGTTCTTGCATTATTTCATGTTTGCATACACTGTCTCCAAGTACAGGGTCTCTGCTTTTTATTCATTTCAGAGCATCAACTGCAATGATTCACATTTAGTGGTTACTCAAGGTGTTCTGAACATACCTAAGACAAATGGATGGTATTTAGGGGGAATAATCTAAAATTTTAAAAAAATCTTCTTGTTTCTGAATATGATTTTTATCTAGGGATCAGTAAAACTTTTTCTACAAAGAGCCTCACAGTATTATAGGCTCTGAGGGCCAGTGATCTGTGCCACAACTACTCAACTCCACCATTATAGTGTAAAGCCTCACAAATGATACACAAGTGGGTGAGCATGCCTATATTCTAATTTAACTATTTATAAATGCTGAAATCAGATTTTCATATAATTTTCACATCACTAAATAGTCTTTTATTCCAACAATTGAAAAATAATATAATATTCTTAGTTTGCAGGCCACATAAAAACAAGAAGGCAGCTAGATTTGGCCCACAAATCTGGTAACCAATCCCTGGCTCAGATCTGAGGTTTGCAAGTGAGACCTTCTGGTGGTCTGCAAGTCCAATTACCAATGTAGTCTACTAAAACTAAAACAATGTATCACAACAGACCAAATGCAGAAGCACCGATGAGGATCTAGCTGCCTCTAAGTCAGAATCCAAGATGTTTACAAAACTGCAGAACAGTGTCACTCTTCTCAGCAACTTTTTTTTAGGTTTAAAAAATATAGTTAGATTTCATATCAAATGCTGTTTATATTAACATACAAACCCTCAGTTTTTATTTCTAATAGGATAAACAATAGATATAGTTCTCTAGGGTGCTGAAGAAATTTAAAAAATAAAAGGGCAGCATGGGACCAAAAAGTGTGAGGACCAGCTGCTGAGCTCCATCAGGGGGAGCAAATTACAGTCAGCAGAGTGCCCTGAGGACTGCCTGCCTGTCACACAATCTCCACCTGGACCTCTCCCCACCCAAGAGCTTCTTGGAATTTCTTTGATTGGATTCAGATTTGATAAAATTAAATCCTACAAATTCATGTTCTTACATAATAAAGATAGTGAAAACACCATGGTTATTTTCATGAAAGAACCCTTTAGGTATATACAAATAAAGAAACATTTTAGCCTTTACTTTGTCAAAACAGGCAAGAGAAACAATCTCTCCCCCAAGCTTCTATTTTCCAATCTTAAAAAATTATTGTAATTCTGTATCTCTCAAAACAAATTAGCTCATCTATACATCACCGTGTATCTCTGACCTGGAACCACAAATATTGTGAAAGCTTGATCCTAACCAGGATACTGGTAGCAGTAAAATCTAAGAACTAAAATCCACTAGACATGATAAAATCTTAATCGGCAGTGTTCATAATTCTACACTAAGAATTCCATTTTAAGCCAGACATGGTGGTGTACACCTTTAATCCTAGCAGCTCAGGAGGGTGAGGCAGGAGAAGCAGAAGTTCAAAGCAAGCCTTTGCAATTAGCAAGTCCTTAAGCAACTTGGTAAGACCCTGTTCAAAAATAAAAAGAGCTAGGGATGTAGCTCAGTGATTAAGCGGCCCTGGGTTCAATTCCCAGTACTAAAAAAAAAAAAAAAAAAAAAAACAACCATTCCATTTTTGGAAATGGAGTATACACAGCTTACAGAGCATTTTAAAAGAGGATTAATATTTTATTTGTTCTGTCATTCAAGATTTAAAAACTTTTGGAAGAATATTTTAGGGGAAATTATAGGGAAAGTTCTTTTAATTCCAGTGTTATAATATATGGGGAAACCTTACATAAGGAAGCATTTCTTTCAATATAAATTTACTTTGCTATAAGGTTTAGTTTAACTGACTATCCAAAGGAGGTGTACTGTTGGTCTTGGGAAATCTCCCTTCCACACCCCATTTTAGAGAAAAGTAAAGAAACACTAATTATGATTCCAATGTATATCATTTTGTTGAATTATATATTGTTAATTAGAAAATGCCTCATAAGGAGTACACTGTTCTAAAAGTCTTCATAGTTTCTCTTTAGGAATAATAACAAAAAAGGACAAAATTCTCTTTTGGATATTTAATCCTTTGTTCTGTACTATAAAATCTTTTAAAAAATCAGGCATTATGATTAGATGCTAGGTCTGCCTAATCTGTGAATATTGGCTCTATGTAATAAAATAAAACACATCTGGCTCTTTTGACCAACAATGAAACTGAAATTCACTATCATCCTTAAGATCAGAAAGCTACTAGCACATTATTATCTGTTCTGGGGATTATTACCCATTTGGGGGAATAGCATAAATTATACTAGAAAGATTTTGGCAGCCATGGTATTCAATGAACAGCAACAACAAAAATAGACCTAAAATATGGGGAAAATGCTTACTATTTAAATCTACAGTAAAAGCAAAAGTCTCATCATGATTGCAAAATATTTCAAGTTATGAAACAAGTTATTTGTAAAATAGACAAAAGTAAAGCAGCTTCCTCAGTCATTTTTTTTCAAATCTCATCATCAGTTTAAAGAAACTGCTTATATGTAAAAGAAAGTCTATTTCAAAATATGGATCTCTATTCTAAGTACATATAAGGGCATGAAATGAATTATGTCTCACATAATACAACATTCCTGCCCCATGTGCAAAAAATGAAAGGTAACAGGAGACTAAATATAAAGAAAGAAAAAAATCATTTGCTTTACTATTCAAAGCTTTAAGAATTAAAAGACTTCAATCCTAAAAAAAAAAAAATAGAATAAAAGACAATAGAGCTAAATAGATGCTAAAGTAAAAAGTCAATTTATATAACATTGTTAAAACAGAAAAGGGTATCCATACTTTGATGAAGAGATATATTATTTCTGGCAAATTCTCTCTACAAAGTGTTTCTGTATAATAAATTATTTCCTTACTCTCATTTTCAAGTTCAAACTATGTTCCTTAAAAAACCTTAAGTATAGGGCTGGGATTGTGGCTCAGCGGTGGAGAGCTCGCCTAGCGCATGCGGGGCGCTGGGTTTCATCCTCAGAACCACATAATCATAAATAAGATAAAATGAAGTTATTGTGTCCAGCTACAACTAAAAAAATATTTTTAAAAAACCTAAGTATAATAGTTTATTAAGAAGGCAACCAATTTTCAAGTCACATGGAATTTATACTACACAAAGGTGATATAGTGAAGGGGATTTTGGTCCACATTTGAGAAGAAAAAAGTTTTTTTCAGAAAACATCTCTAATATCACTCCAAAGCAATAAAACTAGAATCAAAATGTGGCTACCATAAAGCTTGGCACAGCAGTTTTAGATTTGAAAAATGCCATTGTTATTTTAGTAAAATGATTTTCAGCATTATTTTGCTTTCCCAATTCCTCACTCCAGCAGTGGGAAGAAACATGTAACTTTCTTCAGCTGCTAGGGAATTTTCTTAGCACTTTGTGGAAACTGTTGGCTTTCAGAATGGACAGGCTGATTTGAACCAAAAGTTAAGACAAAATACAGAACTGCAACAACAATAAAAAGCAACTTAGGAAGAGGCTCAAGCCAGGCAGATAAGCAAATGCCAGAGAATCAGTTTTCCGGGACTGTTCATGAAGTCAGTTCCCTAATTTCAAAAAGCCAAACCAAAGCAAAGCATGCTGACTTACATTGCTTCTTTAGTTCTTTCAGCTGTTGTTTGAACTGTACAAATTTTTCATTGTTTTGAAAGTCCATGTCAGAACTTTTATTCTGTAAAGCCAAAAATTTCTTCTCCACTAATAATTTTAAATCTGGTATTTTTTCTGGACGTTCTTCTTTTACCTAAGGAAGACAACAAAATTGTCTAGTTCAATGAGAGTAACAGTGCTAAGAAGATTTTACAACATGTAATTCAAATAAAAAGATTATGAGATAGAAAAGAGAATCCTCCAGAGGGCAAGACTGCTAGTAAACAGCAAAGGGAAACATTCATCCCATCTACTCATCCCACATCTCCTTTCTCAAACTATACAGTGCTTCCTTGTTCCCACTAACTACCGTTTTCTCTGAGAAATCCCAGGGAGAGCTGCAAAGTGAGGCAACCTCCTCAGGACCTGAGCATCGCCCTCTCTTCCCTCTGTCTGCTCAGCCCTCTCCCACTTGCCATGCTGGTTATTCCATTTTTCTTTATCAAAGCTTCTCTTCTTCTGTCCCTTGGCCCCAGCAAGTGATAGTGACTCCTATATTACAAAAGAAGGTGAAGCTTTAGCCTTGAACTTCCACAGTTTCCTGCAACACAAAGGAGTAAGTATGTCCTTTATTCTCCCCCTCAAGGCTAAACTCTCAATCTGTCCTTCTTCCCTCAAATATTATATTATTATGCCATATTATTAAATTTTCAAACATGCAGAAAACCAGAGGAATTGTACTGTGAACACCCATTGGTCCACCTCCTAGATGTCACAATCAACATTTGCTATGCTTGCGTTACCACACATCTATCCACCTCTCTCCCACTATCCATCCTCAACCGTGTTCTTAAGTTTGTTCTTAATTACTTCTTCATCTCCTTCAGAACAAACATTCCCTCTCTAGAGGCTGTTTCCCCAAAAAATGTTTACACTGGCTCTTCACTCCTATATTTAAAAAACAAACAACCTTTGTAATCCGTTTCTTCTCCCATTTTCTGTTTATGTTCCAATCCCTTGAAAAAGCTTGAGAGCCACTGTCTCTACTTCCTCATTGCAACCTCAGCCTCGACAATCCAGCAGCAGATGCTACAACACTGCACCTTGGCTGCTCTTCAGGCCTTTGTAACTGGTCTCTTTTATCTGGACCCTTTCCAGATATTCCTGTCACCAAGCAAAGCTCACCAAAATCACCACTGTGCCCTGCCTTCTACCATATCCCCAGTAATATACAATTGCTCTTATTTTTATACTTTCCCCCTAACAAAATATAAATCTTTGAAAGATCTGATTTAACACTATTACCAGTATCTGTCATATAGGAGGCAGTGCTCAATACATGTATTTCAAACAAACATCTTAAACACATTGACAGCCACAGTTTATCAACTATGATTTTTACTAGAGTACATAATGTGGGGGCTGGAAGACAACTCAAGAGATCATAAACCTTGATCTCCTCCTTCCTTAGATTCAGAAATAAATAAAAGGACTTACTTCTACCATCCAATTAGTTAAAGATAATGCTAAGACAACAAGATACATACAAAAAAATTCTTGGTTTTGGTTCTAGTCAATGAGATACAGTTCTAATCTCTTTGATTTATCAATGCATATGAAATCAAAAGATTATCTTAAACTTACCTATTTTGGTTACTTTTTGTCATGGAGGAAAAATATATAATTTTTCTTTTGCTTAATTGCTCTGTATTTTAATTAACTGAATATAAATGAAAATTAACCAGCTTATCAAAATGCCTAAAATTGATATTTACAAAGCAGAGTGTAAGAACTGTTTCCTTGTACTGATGACATGTAACCACTGCTAGTTTCACCATCAAAAAGTCACGAAAACACAGGCTTTAATGACAAGTCTTATATGTAATTAAAAATTTAAAATAAGTCCTGTGATGCTAAAGGACCAATAAAGCTCAATTTGGAAAAAAGAAGGTGGAAATGTAATTTAATACTGCCTATGAATGAGAAAAAAAGAGTTATTACGCATGGTAACTAGCTATCCTCACCTCTACACAAGAGAATAAGATGAGACAAACTTAAAGCTAGAGCAGGAAGAGTTCAGACTAGACCTAGAAAATAAATTGCTGATTTTTAGAAAAAAAATTATTGACTCTTTTCTTAAATTTATAAAATAAAACAAACTCACAGAGACCTAAGAAGTTAATGCTACATTACAGGAAGGAAATCAGGTGGGCCTTCCATCGGTCTGAAATTATTATGCAATCAGTGATGATTAGAAAAGATCTGATCTGAGCAGGTAATAAGTAAACTCAAATTTTATCTTTTACAATAAGGACTCAAATGCATCCAACAAAATTAACTCCTGTAGTTAATTAACAGCTATTAAGGAGGAGTAGGATAGACACTGGGAGGGGGCAGAATGGAAGAGACAGGCATTTTGAGGTTGACAATCTGGTAATAAGCAATACTCTAAGAAAACTCACACAACAATGTATTTTTTCCCCCACAGTGAGGACCTTCAGAAAGTTACTGAAATACATGTGAATTCACTGTAGCAAATATCATCTCTGAAAGTTTGATGCTATAGTTGGTCTGGTTTGCCACTGAAAAGAGAACTTAATATACTCTAGCTATCACAATGAGAGCATGAAAAATATTCAACTCTGTTTAAATCAATGCAATAGATAGAGATTAAACTATTTTAGTGGTTTCTTGCTTTGTATTTTTAAGAGAAATAGATAAGAGGGAGTATTTTTGGAGTTATGTTGTTCTAGTATGAAATAGATATGAATGGCTTGGGTTTTTTTTAGAACAAATTTTAAACACCTCAAAGATGGAAGGAGAAGATCTAATAGACCATTAGGTCCATACTTTTCTCTCTTCTTAAGAGAGGTGCTTGTCTTTTTGAGGAAAATGATGTAAGAAAGCTCAAATAAGAAAAGTACTAAGGAGAACACTGGATCTAATTACCAGGCACTCAGCACAGTGCCCTGCAGCTGGTGATCTGTCAACCCTCCTGTGAGACTTCTCCCAGGTTAGGAGGACTTCCTGGTGTCAGGCTGGATGGCTACCATTTATCCATTCTCAAACAATGTCCACGCATGGGTAAACCACAAGAAGGCCCAATTATGCTGTGCTGAGATGGAAAAGGGAGTAGGGGAGTTTTGTGTAAACAAATGAACAAAGTTTGGTGGCTAACGGAAGGACAGAGAGATGGGAGCCGATCATAGGGAAGAGTTAAGAAACTTGTTGGCCACAAAGAAGATAATAGGAGCGTAAAGTGAAATTGATGTGAGGGAGAGAAAACATGGACCCTGGGATCAAATCTGGGTCTACCCTTGGTTGTGGATATTGGGACAATCTTTCTGGAAATCCTTGGATTTCTCTCACCTCTAATTAGGAATCAGTAATACCCACTTCAGTGCAGTGTAGACAATAATATTTGTATTTAACTTTGGCACATAGTAGATGATCAAAAAAATCTAACCTTTTCCTTTTAACTTCAGCATAAAGGCTTTAACATGTTTGTGGACTGAAAAGAAAGAGTCAATGAGGAAATGCAAACCAAAAACACTAAGAGAAAGAAAGTAACAGATTTCATTAGAGAAAGATCATTCAACTAAGTCGAAGATGATCAGCTGGGAAAGCACAGCAATATTCTTTTCCAGGAATCATAAATACCTACAGAACTAGATAAGCAGAGACACAAGGAAACTCACAGTAAGTGTAGGACCATGGGCAGTGATCAGGACTGTGATGAAGGAAATGATCCAAGGAGAGCTGCTACTCAGCTTCAATGATTGCTACCACATGAGACTGAAAGCAAATGCACCTACCACTAATTTCCCCTCTTGGAAAAAGAAAATAATAATGGCACTAACTGCACTGTGTTGCTGAGGAATAAATGGAATGAAGCAATAAAACATTCAGCAGTCAGAGTTTTCCATAGCACAAAGCTGTGTTGCTGTCGTCACTGTTATCATCATCGTGACATATACCTTCAGATGGCTGGATATACAGGTCTGAAGCTCAGCAAGACTGACATGGAAACACCCACGTGGAATGGAAATAAATGGGATCACCAAGGAGACTGAATAAATGGAAACACACCAAAGGGGGAAAAAAAACGGACCAAGACAAAACTCTAGAGAACACCATATTTAAGAGGCAGTTAAGAAGAGTCAAAAAAGAAAAACCACAAGACTTAAGAAGACAACCAAAAAAGTGTCAGAAGTCTAGGAAGGAATTTCAAGATGTGTCAAAGTGAAATTACAAGATGGAAAAGGGGTCAAGGTAAACAAGGATTGAGAAGTTTCCATCAGACTCAGTTCAAGTCACTAGTGACTCCAGTGAGAGGAGAAAAATGTACAAAGGCTCACTCCAAATATCTAGCTCTTTGTCTAATGAATGGCTTCAAAAAGATAGAGCAGTACTAGGAAAAAACACACAATCCCCCAAAGATCTGCAGACGCTTCAACCAACTACTAAGTTTCAGCTCAAAACTACTTGTGAACATTTAGCTACCCTGAACTGGAGCCCAACACTCTTGTGACTATGGTGCTCATCCTGTGTCAGCAAGAAGAAGGTCATCAGTGAATGCCTGTTAGCAATTAAGCTAAGCCTCCAATGGTTCTGCCACTCTACACAGAGGCTAGTTGTTTTAAGAAAAAGAAACACAGAGCTCAGTCCTCACAGATACTGAAGCTACTTATTACTTTCACTGTGCTTTAACATAAATATTAATGATATTTATAAAATTATTATATTCCTCATTTCTTTCACACAATACTGTGTGCATATGTAATTACCCAAAGTGTGTCATTTTATTGCCACAGGGCAAAGTCAAGTTCTCCTCCTCCTCCAATTATCATTATTGCCTTACAGCCATTATTTCACTGGGAGGGGAGATCACAGGAGTGAAGGATATTAATGGGCTGAGTCATTCACACACTTCTGTAATCATGTGAGAATCTAGTATTAAATCAGTCATTCCTGTAACTGAACCAAGACTTAGATGGTTTACTCTCTCCAAAATGGCCACAGTTACATGTCTGACTCCCCCAAAGCACATGCAATCAATGATTTGCATTTTGCAGATCAGATAGCCTTTAGAAGTTTATAGCAGGCACATACTAGTGATAAGCAATTTGCTTTTTGATCTGCTTAGTACATTAA